GCGTAATATAGAATTTAATAATAAGTTCTATTATAGTTTAAATATAATAGTATTAACGCGTTAGCTAATAAGTATTAAGCTATTATAAAAATCTTAAAATATTAAATATAATTACACTTAGAAGATAAAATTATAAATCTTTATTAATATATAATTAATTTAATATATAGTAATAAAAAGTTTATTATAAAAGCTACGCTATCTAAATTAATATTTTAATTTTAATTATTACTCTTACTATTATATAAATAATATAAAACTATCTCTTATTCGAATATATTTAATTTTTTATTTTAATTATTATTATAGATATTATTAATTCGTTCTAGAATTATTAAATATACTTTTATATATTTTCTATATCTTATCTTTTTTTTAATTAAATAATAATTAAACTTTAAATTAAAATAAATATTTAGAAGAGAAAAGTTTATAAATACTTAATTATATAATTTTATTTCTTTTATATTTTTTATAATTACTAAGATAATTAATAATATATAATTATATTTTATAATTATATATATAATAATTAACTAGTTTAATAATTAAATTATATAAAAATAAATATATTTTTATTTTTAATTTAAATAATTTAGCTAAGATAATTATAAGATTTAGATTCTTTTTTTATAATATAACTCGCTTTTTATATATTATATAAAAATAAATATCTATTTAAATAGAAATTATTAGAATTAATTATAAAGCGTAATAATAAAAGATTTACTCTTAAATTAATAAATTAGAAAGATTTCTATTATCTTATATAATACTTTAAAAGCGAATCTTTAAATATAATAGCGCTTTAATAGATTTTAATTAAATATAATTTAATAAATTAAATATTAAAAGAGAAGCTTCGAGATTATAAGATTAATTAATTTTTAATAATAATAAATCTCGCGTAAAGCTTAAGCTATAGCTCGCGTTAATTATATATAATAAATATAATAATAATTAAAAGAATATATAATCTAATTTCTATTAATACTTTAATACTATTAAAATAAAAGCGATATCTATTAAAATAAAGATAATATTTATTAAAGTAGCGATAATAGTAATTAAAGCGGCGATAATATCTAATTTATCTTTATTTTAACGCTATATCTAATACTTTAAAATAGTATTAGCTTTTTTAAAGAGTTATTAATAATAAATTAAGCGTATATAAATTAAGCTCTTCGCGCGATTTATTTATATATTAACTTAAAGTTATTAAAAGATAAAAGATAAATTTATAACTTAACGACTATATTATACTTTTAATAATATTATAATAATATTAAATTATTTAAATAGAAGTCTAATATATAAAAAAGATAATTTAATAATAAAAAGAGTTAATATAAAAAAGAAAGTCTTAGAGAGAAAGAAGAGAGAAAGAAAAGCTTAAATATTTATCGCGTATATTAAATTTTTAAATTACTTTATATTATCTAGCTTAAATTAAATATTAATAAAATACTTTCTTTTTAATTTTAAAGATTTAAATTTAAACGAATTATATTTATTAAGAGCTATTATCTAATATAATCTTAACTACTTCTATAATAATTATAATTATTATTATAATTTATATAGATTAAAAGATAAAAGATTTAAAAGAGTAAGCTAATAAGTAATTATCTTTATCTAATTTAGCTAACACTAAATTATTATAACTTATTAAAATCTTCGTATATTTTATTTTTATTTTCTTATCTTTAAATCTTATTACTTTTATAAAAATAATTATTTTTAAATTAAACTTTATAATAATATATTTAAAATAGCGTATAATATATATTCTCTTTATTTCTAATATCGATACTTATTAGAATTAACGTATTTTTTAATAAAACGAGTTTTAATTAAAATTAAGAATAGCTTAATATTTATAGATATTTATATAAGCTCTTTAATTCTTTTATATATATCTATTAATTTATTTTTTTATAGTAATTAAAGTAGAAGAGATTAAATTTAATAATTTATTATAATAAGTATTAAATATTATTAATAATTATAGCGATATTAAAAAAATTTAATATAAGTTAATTAAGTAATAATTAGACTCTTAATTAAAATAAAAAATAAAAGATAAACTTAATTAAAATAAAAATATTAAGAGATTATAATAGTAAATAAATATATTTATATTTAAGAAGAAATTAATTAAGAAAGTAAAGAAAATTAATATCTTAATTATTAATTATATTATAATTTTTAAAAAGTATAAAGTTAAGTATATTAATTAGTATATATAACAGAATAAGATAGGGCTAAGCTTGAAAACCTTGAATTTGTATGTGCAGCCAATCATCAATTCGATAGGTCTACGCTTTTTGGTTAGACACCGCGGGTAAATAAATTAGCGTCCGCAATCATCAAAATCTCGCCCTCTTACGCCTCCTCATCAAAAATTAGATGTACGTTGTTGACACATAAAATAACTTTTTTGTTTTCTATTAAAATTTTGAGGTTTTTTTTTTAAATTATAGAACGAAATGTGGGCTTTTAGATAAAAAAAGAATTTCTAAATTTAGTCTTATAATTATTAAAGCGCAAGGAATTCAAATATCGCTCATCAAAGTTCGCTCGACAGTCGGACAGCCCTAAATCCTAATCAGGTACACATTATTTAATTTTAGAATAACTTTTTTGTTTTCTATTAAAATTTTGAGATTTTTTTTTAAATTATAGAATAAAATGTGGGCTTTCAGATAAAAAAAGAATTATTAAATTTAGTCTTATAGATATTTAAAAGCAAGGAATTCAGATATTGCTCACTAAAGATCGCTTACTAAAATTTACTCGACAGCCCTAATCAAAAAAAATGGTTATGAATTTAATTCATAGGCCTTTACTCGTATATTATTATTATAATAAGAGTAAGCTCTTAAATAAATTAAATAAGATATAATAAATAAATAATAAGTAGTTTTTAGTTCTAATTATCGTTTTAATAGATTTATATTTTAATAATATTATATAAAAAAAGCACGCGAGCGTAATTACGAAGAAATTTAAAGTTTTATTTATTACGTAAATTATTATATATATAAATAAAGATAAGAGCTCGAATTAGAAGGAAATAAAAAATATCGAAGCTAAATAAGATATAAATATTAAGAATAATTTTATTATATACGCTAATAATTAAGTAGATTTTATTTTTTAAATTACTTAAGAGCGTAATATAGAATTTAATAATAAGCGCTATTATAGTTTAAATATAATAATATTAATACGCTAATTAATAAATATCGAGTTATTATAAAAATCTTAAAATATTAAACGCGATTACGTCTAGAAGATAAAATTATAAATCTTTATTTATATATAATTAATCTAATATATAATAATAAAAAGTTTACTATAAAAGTTACGCTATTTAAATCGATATTTTAATCTTAATTATTACTATCGCTATTATACGAGTAACGTAAAGCTATCTCTTATTTAAATATATCTAATTCTTAATTCTAATTATTATTATAGATATTATTAATTTATTCTAGAATTATTAAATATACTTTTATATACTTTCTATATCTAATCTTTTTTTTATATATCGCGAGAAGATAGCTTAAAAAAATATAGCTTATTATATTAAGCTATAATACTTTTAAGAGAATATTAAAAAATATATTAACTTTTCTAAATCGATAATTTAATAAAAAGGCTATAATTATAATATATATAATTTTATATTAGATAGTAATATTAAAAATATATAATAGATATATAAAATTATCGTCGATAACTTTAATTACGAAGTATCGATAAATTTTATATAACTAATATTAGAGAAAGATATACTTTTCTTATTACTAGTAGATATAGCTCGCTTTCTTTTATATATATAGAGTAATAAAATATAATTATATTTAATTCTATATCTTATTAATTTAACGTAATTATTAATTAGAATAATAATTAGAATAGCTACTTCTAAATATAGAAATCTTAATTAAAATATTTTATATATATATTATATTATAGTATAATATTATAGATATACTATATCGTAGTATATTTCATTAAGATTCTATATTATATTAGATATAAAATTATATAAATCTTAATAATTTATATTATATTAGAGTATAATATAATAGATTAATATTCTATATTATATTATATCTTTTCGACTAGTAAGTATATCGAATATTATTTAAATATATTATTATATTTTAATTAACGAATTCTATAGCTCTAAGAGTTAGAAAAAGAGATTAATTCTTTTCGAATATCTTATTTAAATCTTTTAATATATAATAAGATAAGTAGTAAATACTTATATTAAGAACGAGTTTTATATTTTATTATAAATAGTAATATATAATAATTAATATTTAATCTCTATAATATTTATTTAATAATTATAAATTAATATTTCTTTAATATAATATATAAATTATAATACGCTAGTCTAATTAGATTAAATCTTAATCGATATAAGATTTAATTAAATATTAAATACTCTTATATTTTCTCGTAAAGTACTCGATCTTTATTTTATTACTTTTATTTCTATATAATTATATAGTAATAGAGACTATATTATTAAATATAGTTAAATAAATAATATCTCTATAAAACACGCTCGTTTATAATAGTTTTATATCGTTTATCGATTAATAGAAGAAAAATAGCGAGAAGAAGAAGCGTTATATTAATTAAATTAATAATATTATTACGATAACTAATATCGAATAGAAGAAGAAGTATTAGAAGGTTAAAGGGTCTATAGAAATTATATATCAAATAAGAGTCGAACTTGAATAAGGGACTCCCTTAGAATAATGGCAAAGATCGGACGATAGCTATTTCAACGAATTAAAACCGTCCGATACTTGCCTAGGAGCTTAATTAACCAATCAGGTTGTAGTAAATATAGTGGTAGATATTTTTTAGTGCGGTCGTTTGGTCACATATGACTGTCAAATGACAAGGGAGGTCTGATCTGACGTTACGTATCATATGACAAATCCGCATGCCTAGCCGTAAAGATGTTACATGCAAAGAACAGCTATGCCGTAGCCAGTGGTATATCTCATATGATGTGAGACTTCGTATGGAAACATATCGAGATCTTTGCTGTTTCGAGTAGGAATGTCCTAGATGGATCGGAAGGTGATAAATTTCTTATTAGTTTGTCGAATACGGTAACCACGTCGTTTGATTGCTAATATTTGTGACGAGGGTATTTGTAAAAGGTTGGTACCGGGATCGGATGAAGTCATGGCCTTGCTCTCTGAGCCATCTCATATACATAAACAGGAGCATACCTGCCTGTATGCTGTTCCCTTATCATCTTCGATTATTCCAGCCCTAGCCCTAAGAACCTCTAACCGACGGTCTGTCATGTCTCCCAACTTCAACTCCAGCTATCCCTCCCGGATCCACAGTGCTCGTTACCGGCGCTAACGGCTTCATTGGAAGCCATGTTGCCGACCAGCTCATTCAAGCTGGCTACCGGGTGCGGGGTACAAGCAGAGACACGACCAAAACCGCCTGGATTACCGAGATGTTTGACAAGAGGTACGGCGAGGGCAAATTTGAAGCTGTGGTAGTAAAAGACATGGCAGAAAGTGGTGCCTTTGATGAAGCATGTAAAGGTACGCTTCTGGCACTCGGACTCGGTGGGCAATGAAATCACTGACTTGACCCATGTTTAGGCGTCTCCGGTGTGGCTCACGTAGCCTCCGTCCTCACTTTCGACTCTGACCCCAACAAGGTCATACCGACTGTAGTGAATGGAGCCGTGAACGCAGCTACCTCTGCTGCCAAACAGACCTCGGTCAAACGCTTCGTCTACACCTCTTCTTCAACTGCCATCACCGCGCCCAGACCCAATGTTGAGATCACAATCAGCACAGAAAATTGGAACAACGAGGACGTCAAGGCAGCTTGGGAACCTCCTCCGTTTGAAGCAAAAGGAGCATGGAGTCCATACGGCGCGAGTAAGACGCAAGCTGAGCAGGAAATGTGGAAGTTTGTGAAAGAGCATGAACCAGGCTTCGTTCTGAACGCAGTGTTGCCAAACACCAACATGGGAGAGATCCTTAGTGACAAGCGACCCGCGTCGTCAGGAGGGTGGGTCAGGAGTGTGTACAATAGAAACCTTAACGCCGTCAAGGACGTCCCTCCCCAGTGGAGTAAGACGTTTCCCAGCCCTTGGCCTTCTTATTCATACCGTTATTGGAGTCTTAAGACACGTTGCAGGAGTGGACTGACCCCCAAAACTGCTCCACAACTCGATTTGTACTTCAAAGCGGACTTGCTAAGCTGAACTTCGTAGTGGTCAATGTTAAAGATACAGCACGACTGCATGTTGCTGCACTTCTAGATCCAGAAGTGGAAAATGAGCGGATACTGGCCTTTGCACACCCTTATAATTGGAATGACGTTTTGGCGGTTTTGCGTAAAATCCACCCTGACAAGAACTTTCCGACGGACGTTGAGGATGAGCCGCGAAGATTTAAGCAAGTTGGATAACTCGAGAGGAGCTGCGCTCTTGAAGGCATTCGGCCGACCGGGATTCACTGGTCTGGAAGAAACTGTCAGGGAAAATACCGCGGGTCTTTAGGGCGCGAGTTCAATATTCCACCCAATCAGTTTCTGGTCAAGCTTACTTCCAGCTCCGCGACGCGTCTTTTGATCTGGCTGAAGCACCATGTCTACTTTTTCGTGGCGCTAAACATTGTGGTTCAATTAACCTTGATAGAACTGCTCGTGAACAGTGATCGATCCTTCTCATTCTTCGAAAAATGCCTTCTTTCGTCCTGTTAAAAAATTGGAAATGGTATGCACTCAATGGTCTCATATCAATGTAGAATGATTGTTCATTGTCATGTTCTATAAAGAAGTATGTAGTAAGGATGGAGGTGACTACCTATCTATGGTGTGAAGCCACGCTAAGGCTATTTGCCACCATAAGGCGTAGTCACAACACCTATTTGGAACTTAGTAGTGTGTAGAAATCCTGGCCTCCTATTGGCTGATTCCAACACTCCCACACAGTCCAAATGGTGGGCTGGAAACACTATTAGTTCCAACACTCCCACACAGTCCGAATTTGGGCTGCTCCCTATCCACTCTTCTTGAGTCCAATTTGGTTTATGAATGTGGCAAACTTGTCATTAGTAAGGGCCTTGGTAAGCCCGTCCGCAGCCATTTCATTTGTGGGAACCCATTCGAATGTGACTGCCCCCGTTTCCACTTGGTCCCGCACGAAATGCCATTGGATATCAATGTGCTTCGTGCGTGAGTGAAAGCGAGGGTCCTTTGTCAATGCTATGGCCCCCTGGTTGTCTGCTTTGATTAGTACTGGTCTGCCAGGTAATCCGAAGCCAATATCTAATTCGCTTAGGAGTCTGGTCAACCAAACAGCTTCCTTTGCTGCCTGAGTCTGAGCCATATACTCAGCCTCACAAGATGACAGTGCAATGGACTGTTGTCGTTTAGACGTCCAACTGACTGCCCCACCGTAGAGTAAGAACACATAGGCTCCAAGGGATCGACGGGTCTCTTGGTCCGAGGCCCAATCAGCATCCGTGTAGCCTTCCAATGCATCAGCCGTCCCATACGTGATGCCATGAGTTAGTGTTCCCTTTAGGTAACGGATGACTCGTTTGACGGCTGCAATGTGTTTCGAATTGGGGTTGTGATTGTATCGAGAAAGAATTGTGACGGCAAAACAGATATCCGGACGAGTCTGAATCATGGGGTACATGATCGATCCCACCATTGATTGGTACTCCTGAATAACTTCTGGTTTGGCCTTGTCGACCAGTTCCTCTTGTAGTTGAGTGCCCACTACCATTGGTGTAGGGGCAGGTGCACAGTTAGTCATGTTGAATCGTGACAGTACCTTCCTTAGGTACGTCGTTTGCGTGATTCGAACGGTTCTCTCCCTCCGATTTCTCTGGATTTCCATACCCAAATAATATGAGCATGGCCCGAGATCGGTCATGGCGAACCGTTTGTGCAGGTCTCGTTTGAGTTCCGATATCAGTTTTGATCCTTTTGGACCATAAATCTGAATATCATCCACATACACGCTAACGATGAGTCGTGTTTTCTCATTAACAAAGAGTGAGTGATCGGATTCGGTTGGTTTGAATCCTTTGGATACAAGGAAGTCCCGTAGGGTGAAGTACCATTCTCGTGGCGACTGCTTTAGGCCATATAGTGCTCTAAGCAGCAGACATACTTTGTTGCCTTTCTTCTCATACCCTTTGGGCTGTTCCACATAGATGGTTTCCTTCAGCAGTGCATTGAGGAATGCGGTAATGACGTCCATTTGCTCACAGTCCAGGTCGTAGTGTGCCATGATTGCAAACAGTACCTTGAATGACATGGACTTGACAACTGAGGCGAAGGTTTGGTCGTAATTGACGCCGTAGATCTGTTCAAAACCTCGAACTACCCAGCGTGCTTTGTAGAGGATGGAGCCATCAAGTTTCTTCTTTATCTTGTAGACCCACCTACCAGTAAGGACTGGCATATCCTTCGTCCTCGGAACAAGCTTCCAAGTGTCCATTGTGGCAAAGGAATTCATTTGCTTGTCCATGGCCTCCTTCCATTGTTTGGCATAGGGGCCAGCCATTGCCTGGTCATAGGTCAATGGCTCGAAATCGTCAATCTCCGCAGTGGCCTGTTGGCATCTCATGTCAGCTATTTGCTGGACAGCAGCAGCGAGGTCGAAGACGGGATCGAAGTCATGATGGTCTGGATCCTCATGACTCAGTGTGGCTTGCCTACAGTATAGGCGTTCCGATTCGAGGGTCTTATCACACTTGGTGTGGGCAATGGCCCTCTGGGCCCACATTTTAGTGTCACTCCATTTATCATTCAGGAGAACTTTCTGGGAAGGCATGGGAGTTCGTTTTGGTCGAGAATTGTATGTCGCATCGGGACATGGATCTGGGTGAGCGATAGGGCTACCTCGAGGTATCTCTTCAACGTCGTCGTCGTTGGATCCTTCTGGGCCCACATCACTATCTCCCACATCTCCGGCTTCTCCGGTTTCTCCGGTATTTCCATTGAAAAGGATATTTCTGATTTTGTCCATGTTGGTAGGGCCCGCGTCGGTGTCGACGACGGCCTCAGGTGTGTGTTGGTGCACTGTAGAGTCACCCCCTGCATCAAATACATCTACCACATCGTCACCAGTGGCCTCGGCTAGCCAATAGCCGGTGTCCGAGACCGCAGTGGTCATCATTCGTGATTCATCAAAATCGACATGGGAGGATCGTTCCACTTGCCGAGTGGCTGGATTCCACACCCGAAAGATATTCGTACCTTCGTAGCCAATCAGGTAGCACTTCTTGCTACGTTCATCGAGCTTCTTACGCTTTTCCTTAGGTATGTGTACCCAGGCAACGCAGCCGATGATCTTCATGTGTCCGAGGTATGGTTGTTCGCCTGTCCATGCCTCGTGTGGTGTCATGCCCTGAAGGCGGGTGGTGGGACTCCTATTCTTTTGATACACTTTGGTATGAAGTAGTTCTGACCACAAATAGCGGGATAACTTCGAGTCAAAAAGCATGGCCCTCACCCCATTCATGACAATCCGGTTTTGTACCTCGCTAAGTCCATTTTGCTCAGGCGTGTAGGGTACGGTAGGCTCCCATATGATTCCGGAGTCCTTGAAGTGTTCTTTGAACTCACTATTGATGAATTCGGTACCATTGTCCAGACGGACTATCTTGACCTTGCAACCGGATTCGTTTTCCACCTGAGTTTTCCAGTCACGGAACAACTTGAAGGTCTCGTCCTTGTGCTTATACGTGAAGCACCAGGTCCGGAGGGTCGCTTGGTCGGTTAGAAGCATGTAGTACTTGGCCCCATTGATGGACGGTACGTTGAAAGGTCCTCCCAAGTCCATGTGGATCTTACCGAGTTTTTCGAGTACCTCGTGTTGTACTCTTCTTGAAACCTTTCGTGTGGATTTGGCCTTGGAACAGGCCTCACATATTGGTCTGACCCGAGGTTTCTGAGTCAGTGTGATGCCCTTGCTCATGTTGACCAGTCTCTTAAGGTCCGCCTCGTTTAGGTGTCCCATTCGACGGTGCCATAGCTCGACAGCTTCCTCGTTGAACATCAGGCTTGTTGTTAAGGCCCTCATGTTCTCCTGAATAAGCACCGAAACCTTGGCTGTAGACTGTGAGATGCTGAGGATGTAGGTATTGTTTACCTTCGGAGCGCTACCAATGAGCTTGCTACCTTGAAGGATATGGCAGTCGTCACCAAGGAAGGTGATTCCAAATCCTTTTCGTGTGGCCTGACTGATCGAAAACAGTCCGCATGTGAGGTCCGGAACATGTAAGACTTCACTGACTTTCACGATGTTGCTGGATCCATCCTGCAATAGCCATTCCATTTCGACTGTACCGCGGCCCTGCGTCCAAACGGTAGTCCCATTGGCTATCATGACACCTGCACGGTATGGCTGGTAGTCGGTGAACTCGTCCTTGTCGAAGAACATGTGGTTAGTACAGCCTGAGTCCATCATCCATTCGTGTGTGGTAGTAGGTTGACTATCCACATGTGCTGCATAGGAGAGAAAGTGAGTTGAGGATTCGTGTGACAATTCGTCAATTATTTCGTCCTCTGGAGAATTGGGTGGAGAGTCAAGGATATTTTCAGCCTCCCGGCTTGCCTCACCACCCAATTTTGGGCTGGCGTCAAGCTGAGGTGTTAACTGATTCCCTGCGTTCTCCCATGGTTCTTGCGATTTAGCCATTTCGACTAAGAGATGATCGAGAGACTCAATTTCGAGCTCTTTGTTCATCACCCCTTCACCTGATTTAGGTGTTGAGCTGTTGGCTGGGTAGCCCCAATACTCTTCGTCTCCCACAGCATCCCCACCATCGATTATGGTGTGGGCCATTGCTGAAATGTGAGTGTGGTTTTGGTCCACGAAATCGTCCGGCCTATTGGTTGTATTGGCCACATTCGCTTTGGGCTTGGAGTTCGAATTGTTATTGCTGTTATTGTTGTTATTGTTGTTTCGAAATCGATCAGGTATCTTTTCGTTATGAAGGGTCCAGCAGCTATACGGCCAATGCCTCTTCTTGCTTCCATTTGGTAGTGGTGGGCACTTTGGACACTCAGGTGCGTCACCTGATCCCTTGTAGTAGGTACTATTCGGGTTGTTTGACGGGGGATTGGAGTTGTAGTTGTTGTTTCCACCGTTGTTTCCACCCCGGCCTTGTCCTGAAGTATTGCCCCCACGTCCTGAATTGTTGTTACCTCTGGAGGCCTTCTTGTCCTCCTGTTCCTTGTGGTATTTCTTCATGGCAACGGCCATGGCTTGTTCCTTGTTGTCTCGCTTGAGGAGACGGTCTTCTTCGTGAAGAAGTGTGACAATTTTGTCAAAGTCTGGCATGTCATCAAGTTGTGTGACAAGACGGTGTACGAAGTCCTTGTACTTTCCGTCCAAATTGTTCAACAACAGGGCAACAAGGATCCATCCATCGATTGGAGCTCCCATACGCTTGAGGTCCTTGGATTTTGTACGTATGTTGGCAATGTAGGTCTCAATCGAGTTGTTGCTGTTGGCCATGGTGGTGTTCCATAGTTCCTGCAACTTCGTGAAGCGAAGTACGAATCCGGAGTCGGTGTAGTCGGTTTGGAGTCTGATCCACCTTATCATGGCTACCTCCTCGTCTTCTATTGCTTCGGCTGGTTTGTCCTCACACATCGAGTAGATGAGTTCCGATGCTTGGTTGTTAAGGTCCTTCCAGGCCTTCACCTCGGCATCGTAAGTCAAAACCTGCTGGTTGGTAGGCCCCGGCACGGTAGTTCTTGTGCGGTGGGTTCCATCAGCTAGTGTATCCGTGACAGTGACTTCCTCTGGTAGGTCGTCTGGAAACAGTGCTGATCCTTGTTCCACTACGTCCCATAGGCCGCAGTACTTCAGGGCACTCTTCATCTTCTTTGACCAAGGCTGGTAGTTTTCCTGCCCTTTGAGCTTTGGAAAATTCCAGATCTGAGTCAATGCAGCTGCGTGCATATTGAACGCCTGCGTAGCCATCTTGTATGGCTACCTGTTGAAGAAAGGATGAAAGAGTGGATAGAAAAATGTATGGTAAGAATGTGGGAATGTTCGTTTAACTCCCACAACACCAAATCATCAAATAGGTGGGTGTTCCTAGTTGACAGTGTAGAGACCACGGTAGCGGAATTCCGGGCTCATAACCTATTGGAAATGGTATGCACTCAATGGTCTCATATCAATGTAGAATGATTGTTCATTGTCATGTTCTATAAAGAAGTATGTAGTAAGGATGGAGGTGACTACCTATCTATGGTGTGAAGCCACGCTAAGGCTATTTGCCACCATAAGGCGTAGTCACAACACCTATTTGGAACTTAGTAGTGTGTAGAAATCCTGGCCTCCTATTGGCTGATTCCAACAAAAAACGATTTAAACTTGCAGCTCGTCCTGGCGCTTTTGTTCCGCCTCAAGGGTCCACATCTTGGTGGAGTTTCAAGCCTTCAATAAATTTCGTGTGCGAGTGGTGCGCTTGCTAAATGTTCCGCGAGCTGTCCGACCGATTCATCTAAGCGTGCCGAGCGCATAATCTCCTTATTTTTGTGGTGGAAATGTATCATATTATTCTAGTGTCTCTCTGTCTTGCAGATTTTCCTGACAGCGTCACCTTCGTCAGTTCGTCGCAATGGGGATCTACAAGAAAACAGATATTCTCGTCTTGTTTCAGCTGTATCTTCTTGGTCTTGCAGCTTTGGGTTCTAATATCATCATTCTTCCTAACCCAAACCTCACTTCTGTGTCGAATTGGACACTTCCGCAGCCTCTAGAGTACGCTCAATCTATTGGTAATGAAGTAAGCAGGACTGATTCCACATCGAGCAGCGTGTTGCCGTCAGACCCATTCTCATACAGAGTACCCCAGTCGTCGCAAGTCATCACCTTCTCCCGGTATTCGAGGACCCTCAAGCGCGAGGATGTACTAGCATGCTTGTTAGAAGCAGCGTTGGAAGTCATCAAGGAAATCAATCTCGACCACGACGGACCTATGGATACGGAGGAGATCCAGGCCAGCTCTGGCCACTCATTATTGATCCTTCACCCCAATCCGAGATTGACATGGAGAATGTGGGGGACAACGATAACTGGCATCAGCAACTTCTTGAACGATTTTGAGTTTGTGGATTGCGACTTCGAAGTTGAAATACTGGGGTACTCAGCTAATTTTGGGAGTGGCCTTTTGGTCTATTTTTGATCAGCAGTTCAGGCCAATCATACCTGGGTGAAATAGGAGCTTTCTGGAAGAATGGAATATGTTCCTTCCAGCTCGCTGATCAGTACATGTATGATCGAAGAATCCTGTCCTCAATCTGGTCCACATCGACGTTTAAGTGTTTGGTCTCGTACCTTTGCGCGTAGTCCGGTTTTTCGAATGCCTCGAAACAGAAACCTCTAGAGGCTTCTGTCCTTACGCGATAAACTCTCTTTATTTCAAAAAATCCATGGCTCTCCGCCATGTCCACCAAGTTTCCTCCCCCCTCTCCGTTGCTAGCAGGCTTCCCAATATCAGCATCTGCCTAGAAGCATAGAGTACGGTTCGCTTACCTCATCTCCGAGTTCACTCTGTCTTCTGTCTTCTGCCTTTAAACCTTTGCAATAAAATCATCTGTGACAAATATATCCACACATGCTAGCCACTCTGGACAGCAACCCAAGGGGTTGTATTCCCACTGAATCTCTCTATCTCTACGAATGTGAATGATCCTTTTCGGTTAATTCGTGGCAGATACACGCACCAACTTCTTCACGCCTTAGTAATACTCAAAGATTTCGGCGAGTTTGTGGTGAGAGGCTATTTCGATCCCTACGACGCTGCGAGACTGCATAGCATAATTAAGCAGTATGACGTTTGATGTTCGAACACACATCTTTACCTGCGCTTATTGGAAACGCGGAGACTTTCATGACACTCACCAGATCCTCGACCTGGCTAGGGCGACATCCTCAGATCTTTACAAGTGCACACAGAGTGACTTTGGCGTTTCCAGCGTAATGGAGATGGACTTGTTCTTACAGCTTGTCTGGATGGTAGGTCGTTTGGAGTCTGCTCACTTGTGGCTCAGACTCGCATGCAAGGCAAACATTCTTAGATCGAAACTTTGACAGAATCAATACCGTAATAGTCCTGAACAAAATACAATCATATTCCACCGTCACGGCCGAACAAGGGGCGGAGGCGTACCTTGTTAGAACCTTTGTCCGCATGGCGCCTAAACATCCCGCCTGCGATATCCTCGTAGATGTCACAGAAGCAGTCCAGCTCGATCAGAGTGGAACGGGGGTTTGGCTTCCGGGAAATCTGGAGGTCATGAAACCGCATCAGGTTGGAGCATTGAGAGTTATATACACTACAATTCTGTTTTGACACAGGGAGCTTGACGACTAACTTTGTTGAGCATGGCAATAAAGGCCGTCGTTGGAGGCTCTTACGAAGGACGACTTTGGATTGGAAGGGTAGTTGAGGCCAGGAAAAAATGACCTGGTAGGACGAATGGCGCAGAACAACCTGGGTAAATGATAGCGTGAGTTGAGTTTGCGAATCAAATATAGACTTGAGGTAACTATCCTCCGTGCTAAAGCGCTCTTGACGCACCCGCCCAGTATCAATAGAATGCGGAAAGTGGTCTCCTACAACATTTTTTAAATATCTGACGACCCTTCATGCCGGCCTCCAGCAATCTCAATCTCAACCTTCAATCTTCCCCTGACCCAAAATGCCCCCTTCTCCCTTCGCCACCTGCCTCAAAAGACTACAAACACTCCCGGCCAACCATTCACTGCAGAAGATCAGAACCACTGTCACAGTACTTCGTTTTGCATTGCTCTTGACGCGCAATACCTGGGCCTCCAGTAAGGTCGTTGAAGCGGCTAGCACCACTGCCGCTTGGACGCATGTCTGTTATCAATAACGGTACCGGACTGGTTTGAGTCAGGGACGAGAAGACTGGGCCTTGTTATGGTAAGGTTTCTAGGGCTTGAAAGTGGTTGAAGGGTTGATGGATCGTGTGTAAAATATTTCGCTGGTGTTCGAGGCCGTGATGGCGCAGCTGGACTCATAATCATAAATATCTCCACAAAAAGGACTGCCAGGGAGAAGACTAGGCGTACCTAGGCTTCCAGTATGGCGCTAGCGTCTGGGATTGATGTTAGTACTGCCGACCAAGGACGAGAAGGGTTCGCTTGAGCGTAGCCGCCAAAAGTTTGGGATTTTTTTTTAAATTAGAGCAATCTATCTGTGAACAAACATCTGGTAATCCCATCAAGCACCAGCGACAGTAGGCGGTGTTTGATAGTCAAGGCCCCACTAACCTTACTTTCCCCTTCCAGCTGGCCCGGGCTCAAGGCTGGACACTACCGAAGATGAAGGTTATGAGCTCACCAGGTCAGGAAAGGGAAGAATGAATTCGCCAAATCACCAACTTGCAAGGCCGAATATTCTCCATTATCATCAGATTAAATAAATGGACATATGTGAAACAAACAAAAGAAAAGCCAATGTACCAACCACCTCGTTGTATATATTTGAGAATCGGCGGCGACGGCGCGCTGAGCCCATATGTGAACAACACGTATGAAACCTGAAGGTGTACTAGCAGATCCGAAGGGAAGGGAATAAGAAAGAAATAGAGAAAACCTCCAAATGAGTGCCTGTGCGCAAAGCGCGTTCTCCCTGGATATGAGACCTCGCAAAATCCCGCTTTCCAACCCCCCAGAGCTGACTCTCAACATCTCACCCATGTGATCATCTTGCACACCCCGGGCTCATACTTAGAGCAAGCATTCCGGCTCCCTCTCCTACTTCATCACAACTCATTTAATTCAATAGTCTCAATAGTCCCATGCCTACGCTCCGCACCGCTTGAACCTGCCAACGCCAGACTGCCGCCCCTCTTAGGGTTCTCCGCATCCACCACGGTTCTGTTCCTCGCCGCCTGCACCAGCTGCGGGTTCTGTTCTTTCAAGAGCGCGAAGTTTTTCTCTGCTTCCCAGTTCCAGATGGAGTCAGAGGCAAAGACGAGGTTCATTTCTTCCAGAGTCCTTTGGTTTGTCTCTGGGTACAGGGCCCAGACCATGGGGATAGTGATGGCGTTGCAGATGCCGAAGATGTAAAGGGTCTTCTCGTTGATAGCGGCAAACATGACCGGACAAAGTAGTCCCTAGAGAACGATTAGTCACGGCGTAAAGAAAGGATCCCAAGGTCAGGATGATTATCCTAAGCTCCCTCCTTTCGAGTGAAAGCCTTGACGAGGGTGAAAGGGACCCAAAGACGTACCAGCCAGCCGTTACCAATACTCCACCCTACTACACCCCATGCATTACCCTTCGCGCGGATCTCCAGAGGGAAGATCTCGGCCGGGTAGAGCCACGGTACCGTCAACCAAGTCGCGCCGAAAATGGCGGTGAAGAGAAAGACAAAGAAGGTAGCTGCGATTCCAGAACCTAGCAAGCATTGGTGTTAGTACTGCTTCCTCTACGCAAAATCCAAACTTGAAAGACATATCTGGCAACCGTATAGCACCTCCTGCTGCCGGAACATCTCTGACCATTTGATTTCCAACACCAAAGAGGGAGGGTCAAGAAGTAATGTACGGACCAGTTTTGGTGGAGGACCCAATAGCTGCGTTTTGTCCGATGCGAGAAAGGCCGCCGACCAGGAAAGTGCAGATCCCCATGCCGACGGAGCCCCAGTAGAGGGTCCAACGGCGGCCAATCCGATCAAGCGTGAATACGCAGACGAGAGTGGAGAGCTGGAATGTTTGTCAGTGGTGTCGTTAGGAGTGCGCTGTGGGTATGAGACCACCGACCATGTAGGTAATATCATTGAGACCAGTAACCCACAGCTGGACCAGTCAGCATTGCCTGATGCTGATGGGAATATGCGCCTTGCAACATATCCGGAGAGGGAATATTTCCCAATTGATGGCTCGAAGCGAAGGATATAATTCGAAAAGGGAGACTTGGACTCTGAAAATACATACCTGGTCCTGAGGTGCTATACCAGCGATTGCAAATATCCTGGGGCCGTAGACAGTAATGCCTGAGCAGATTTGGATATCAGCGGGGCTTATTCAGCGCAAAAACCTGGGTTATAAGGCAGAGTTCAGGTAACAGAAGCGCAGTATGCTGTCCAAGCATTTCCTTCTACGTACCGGCGATTCCGATCCACTCTTGCATGATTTGTAGCCAGACCACGAGCTGGACCCGGCGACCGGTATGGAGTTTTCCAGATCCAATCCCAAAGAACATGTGGAAGTAGTTTTGTTGCTTGGCAGTCTTTCGCTCAAGTTCACAGATGTTGCGAATGTCTTGGAACTCTGCTTCGCTCTTTTCGGCCTCGTCGCCGCTTTCTCCGCGCAGTCGACCAAGAATATAGCGGGCTTCTTCTTCACGACCTACTTTGACTAACCAACGAGGGGATTCAGGCATGAGAAAGACGATTCCAAGGAGGAACAGGAGTGGTGCGATCTGAAACGCGATGGGAAAGCGCCAGATGAAATCAGATGTTCCGTCTACGTAGAACTGGAGTCAGCATTGATGAATATATTTCGGGCGTCGAAAGAGCTCTCTGCGGCCGAGGAACGTGATGTGAAAAGATCTAAGTCACACGTGGGATGAGAAAAGTCAAATTATACGTACCGCCATAGAAGGAGGTACCACTCAGATCTGTCAGTCGAAGGCATTACGAGAAGCATGAATGAGGTACACACTATTCAATCCAGTAGGCAACAACCACCCCAAATATGTTTAGTGTGAATTCGATAGCGACGAATTGACCTCGGGAGGTGTGCTCGGCAGTCTCGGTCGCCCAGACTGGAGTAATTGCGTTCAATATGCCAGTCCCAATACCATTGAATATGCGAGCTGCAAACTTTAGCCGTACGCAAACATTAATCTCGGTATTGTTACATACCACATATCATCCAGGTATAGTCTTGAGCAGAGCATTGAAGGCAAGCACCGACAATCGCCCAAGCGGCCGCCACAGCAATAGTATTAATGCGCCCAAATTTATCACCGATGTAGCCACCGAGGAAGGCGCCAAGAAGGGTACCTGGCAAGTAATACACAGCGACCTGAGATTATCAACATAAGCAAAATAGATGAGGCAAAACACCCACAATGCCTCCCTGAAGGGTAGGTTTGTCGATGATCACAGACTTGGTAACATCGTTCCAGTGGCCAAAGCTCATGATATCGACGTAGCTTCGGGCGGTGTTTACTCCTCCCATCACACCTTGATCATAGCCAAAGAAGAAAATAGAGAGAGCAGCAACGCAGTTGATGGCGATCAAAAGTGCTCGCTTCTCAAAGCGATGGACCAGGTTGAACTTTGAGATACGCTCCATGATATCAGTGATGAGTAAGGGTGGGGCAGATCTGATGTTTTGAAGGCTCTCAGATGGGGAAGTCTACCACAGTCTTCAGAGTAGCAATGAGGTTTTTACGACGTAGGTAAAATAAGAGAATGTCAAGGAACCCCTGATGTATGGCAAAGGGGAGCGCAGCCCACGGTTCTTATACAGCTTCGTTTCCATGACATGCCGTGCAGCATCACCGTTAAGTCAAATAGCAGACCATATGAGACTTGGAGACTGTTGAATCTGGGGCGGTGCCAAAGACCAGAGAGTTCCTCAGCGGCACGCTATCCCGAATTGAGGACGAACGTCTTCAGTATGTAGTTACGGCAGTCGCAACGAGAGTGGAGTCTGCAAGAATGAGATGGTATACTCGTACATAATCGTGTGGAGAAGGCAGGCTGTGCTTATCTCGCCTTCGCAACGACTTCCTCATTAAGACTGTCAGTTTGCGAAGAGGATGTAGAAGCGTAGTGCTGCCAGTGGTATGAACGTGCAAACGAACTTTGTGGAGCTATAAGACCGAGTTGCACAGAAAGCACGGGCCAGAAGGCTGAGCGACGTGGTGTTGCGGAGAAAGTTATTCGATCCCTCTGGACGAATGACAGGCGTGACGGAATTGTTGCCTAGGTACTTTCTGATTTGCTCTGGGCGCGTAATTCGGCCTCCATAGGCGTCAAGAAAGGGTGATCCGCTAAAAGAGATCTAGAAGGACGCTAGAAGGACGCTAACAGGATGTTGTCGTCCTCGCGTTGCCGATCTGCAGATCCCCCAATATTTCAATCCGTGTCACTTTCTCATTCTCCACTTGGTTCATCTTTCTGTCCTATTAATCTCCTGGAAAAAGACGTACCGAGGCTGTGCTAGAAGGATCTTTAGCAAGCGGAAAGGCGCATCTTGAGAAAGTGATTCTCCAATATCCTCAAGCCGTTGGTTCTTAGTGAGCTCGCTGCTCCACGGAGTCTCGATGTCATCTTAGTGCAGTTTTTCTCATTCTCCAAAGTCAGGAGACCCTGGGCGGATGAAGCAGTCCAGAATGATGCAGCTATGCACTAGAGTAAATTGGCCCTGTCTCAAAGCAACCGGTATTTGCTGGATAGGAAGCAGCTTAATATGCTCAGCCCCGCCGTCTGCAGGCCGTGAAACCATATGGTCTGCAACCTTTATGTCACAGTTAAAACAAAACGGCCGGCGAGAAAGGTTCCGACTCTGCCCCTAATCTCTCACCGGCGCGGTAGACGAAGTTGACCGTTCCGCATGCCTTAGCATTTCTTCTGATGAGGCACTGGGGCAGTGAAGCCTCCTCGGCCGCTTTCCGTACCAGGCATTAGAAAGGCGCCGCTCAACTCAGAAGGCTGCTGGTAATGGTAACATCGGAAATTTTGGGAAATCTGCGCTTCGTCCTGGCCCCTGGAGACATCCAGAAGCCTACGTGTGACTTCCTCGTCGGTACCCTCTTGGTACCCAACAAGTGACCTGCGTACGCAGCTATGCCCAAATAGCGGAAGCCGCACGCTCTGCGTTGGCCATGAGCTCCTGATTTGGGCCGTACACGGGACACAACTCGCCAGCCCAGCCTTGCGATATTCGCAATGCCAAACCCTCTCTTTCTCTTGGTCCAGTGTCTCATGTATCTAGTCGTTTCGCTTCCTCAACTCTTTGCCCAATAGCAGCACGACCTTCTTCTGATGTCTCCGGGTGACCACAATGATACTGTGACTGAACAGTCAAGAACAAAAAGCCAAACGAGCTGTCAAAGACCTGACTAAGGACCTATAGGGCGCTTTTCCGTTTCGTCAGCTTGTCACTGACCGATCGCAGGCATGGATAAGTTCTAGCCTGTCCTTCATGATGGCTTTGAGATTCACAATAATGGCATGGGCGGATAGACATGATTTTAATTAATCCAGATTCAACGGGCGAGGTTCTCCGAGCATCTTTGTACCATGTTTCCGCTATCTTTTGGCCTTATCATTCACTCACTGACTCGACAATCGTTCTACTAGATCTTAGAAAGACTCCAATGAATTAATATATCTTCGTCTCGGTGCCCTGACAGTGAATTGCTCCTCCTTCTACCTTTCCACATATGCAGCCTTTACGACACTTATCACTGGTCACGAGAGTTCCTCGTCAACAGACGTCTGGACAGCATGCGCTGATTCGGCGCTCAAGACCAATCCAAAGGCCCAGTCTGGCAAAAGAAGAAGCTCTGAGCGTAGACTCATCATCCTCGATGCAATCTTCGTGCAGCCCTGAGCACAAGGCCCATCCGTCTGGTCAACACGGTAACTTCGGGAGAGGATGTCAGAAGTGGGAACCATGTCATGATACGGCGTCCAGCTGATGCTCGGGCCGTTGGGATGCCTTCAAAAAGCCTTTGGTAAATTCTATATCCGCATCGCCCTTAGCGAGAACCTCCTTCCCACGTTCAAGGCCCCGGAAGCATTCAGCTGTCCCACTGAAGAATGCTTTGTTGGTTAAAAATATCCGATCCATTAGTGGATTAGTGTCTTCGACCCTAGATATGGACCTCCTCCAGATTAGGCATTCCACTCAGTTGCCATACCAAGTTGCGGTTCACGGACTTTATGGTCAACATCTTCTCTCATTTCTGCCACACTTCACAATTCTCAGATTGATCAACCTCCACTCCGCACCGCTTGAAGCTAGATTCCTTTGGAAGCTTCATGCTCCGTCCAAATAGGGATCTAAATGCCATCGGGCAGGCGCAATGACGATCAAACTGCTGTAGATGACGGAGGTAGATTAGCGTTTGCCTTGGTAATTTGTGTGAAAAATAGCTGGGTTAAAGAGAAACTCTGATACATTGCCTGTGAGCTCTTCGAGAGGACGACTTGGTTTTACCATGTGAGAACAACCTTGGTTCAAGAGCTCTCCGGGAAGGTCAATCAAGCGAGAACCTTCACGGGATTGCATTTAGAACTCTCTTTCTGGCACTACTTACGTTTGAACACGCATGGAAGAGTAGCAAAGTTACCTGGAGTATGTTGCGGCGTGAGGTGGACAAGCCTCACGTGCACGAAGTTCGCCTTTTCGGCCATGAGCTTTCAACTTGTCCAGCCTACTGTTTCACAGCATTCTTGCCTTGATAATGGTATTGCATGACCATGGTCAGTACGGTGTCATCTCATCTCTCTCCCCTTCATACCCCTCAAGTCCAATACACCCCCGTCTTAGCTCTCTCCCCTACATGCCTCCTCCAAAGATCAATTAGTCATGGCACTCCTCGGCCGCAAAGCCTCAGCATGCTCCGCCAAGAGCCTCGTCGAATCGCTATCCGACAATACCCCAGCCGTTCACACAAGTTCATATGGACCAATTTTCATCTGCCGAAGACAGCCCGAACACACCATTGCATTCGAATCCTTCTTCGTCAGCCACCATCCCACAACCAACAGTAAATCATCCAGAGAGTCTGCAGAAACACCAGATCATTGACCAAGATGGTGACAATGGGGTATCCTGCGCCTTTTATCTGCGGGATTTGGCACGTATACTCGGAGTATAAGGTCGCATTTTTCAGCCCCAAATGACCCGTACTGTTTCCAGTGATGCTTAAGGTATTATAAGCGACACTTGCGAGAACAGGCGGCTGTCCGAGGGAGTTGATCCTGTAGCTGTCCACGCCATCAGGTGAGCTGTTCACGTAGAACGGTGCCGCTAGATAGTACTGAAGCGCGTCTGGGTCTGTCAGAACGTTGGACCCGTTCGTCTGCCCCATATCAAGCATCACCATTGAGTAAAAAGCCTTGGCAAATCCATCGATCTGCTGTGGAAGATATGGTTAGGTCTGACTATTATTCCAATTCGAAGCGGATCTAACTTGAGATGGTCATCATCTGAACTCAGCCAGTGGACGGTTCCATTGCTCATGCCAAATGATCCCACGTAGGATATGAAATCTATGTCCTTGATGTTAGCCGTGAGATCGAAGTTGATGGTAACATCACCCCAATGAAAAGTTGACTGAGGGTCTTGCATATGCGCCATCTGAGCCCGTATACCTTGGAACCATATCGAAAGCAGCATCGCTCCCCACCAAATGCTTGCCTGATTCCAAGAGTCGAGCTGGATAAAGGCGTCAAATTCGTTCGGGAAAGATTCGTACGCGGTCGTGATATTGATATTATAGGGGGGTTTGCCATTCATGATATTGCATGTGGTGGAAGCTGTCGCGGTGGTTTGAATAGAGGTTAATCACTGGCAGGCCAGTCCAGCACTACATGTATCTGCTCGTCACATCCTTATCCGGATTTGGCGGACCTGACAATCAGCCAAATCGTAGGGAATCTATCGCATGTTCCATTTGAGTACTGTGCTCCACATTCATTCTGCACGGTGTGGAAAAGGGCCTGATTCGAAGTGAAGAATTCTAGATGAGTGTGAGTATGAAGCGGTATCTCCTAGGGAAAGCGTTACCTGTCCCGACAGCGAGACTTTGAGGTTGACACGTGGTCCCGAACTGCGAATGGATCAGATTGGTATTTCCATGTCAGTGGATGTGTAGTTGACCTTATTGGTCCAGAACCATGGAGGCTTTTGAGCCCAAATGTTTTGCTTGAGTGTAATATTAGGCTGTGCGGTATTGATGGTGCTCCACATGATTAGTGCTTGGCTGGGACAATGTGGTAGAGAATATTACATCAGGTCGTAGCCATTTGTTGCAAGATTCATGACCGAGAAAACGGCTGTGAAAATTACCTCCAACCACAGCGACCCACGTAAGCCAAGGGAAGAAAAGGGTAAGGCCGTGTCAAATTGTATTCAAAATACGAGGTGTCCATTGTGAGATAGTAAAACCAAATGAGCATTGGCACAGGCGATATGGGGAATTCACATTATCGAACATGGCGAATGACGTACTAGTACGTGCATATATAGAGAGCTGCACCTCAGCCGCGCGATCATCTTGCTGCCATTGCACTAAGCGCTTACTCGTAGAGTCGTGCGGCCGAAACTCCATCTTCGTGGCACGGACAGTAGAGGCCGCCTTTGCCGGGTTACAGCTCGGCAGGGGTGAGTAGATGCTATATATATGCACCTCGTCCGAGATAAAAGGAATACACTCAGCATATGCTAACATCTCATCAGGGGTGAAAAAATAATTATTTAATCTAGCGGTTTTCGTATACGAAATAATCTCTAATATATAGAACGAGTAAAGGCCTATGAATTAAATTTATAATCATTTTTTTGATTAAGGCTATCGAGTAAGTAGATAAGCGATCTTTAATAAGCGAACTTTGATAAGCGATATTTGAATTCCTTATACTTTAATAATTATAAGACTAAATTTTAGAATTCTTAAAAATTTAAAAAGCGTAAATAGCGCTTTAAAGATTAAAAAAAAAATCTTAAAATTTTAATAGAAAATAAAAAAGTAATTCTATATATTAATAATATATATTTATTTTTTTAATAAAAAAGGCGTAGAAGGGCGAGATTTTAATAATTATAGATATTAATTTATTTATTCGCGATAAGTTAGTCGATTTAATTAAAAAGCGTAGCGAACTCGAATTAATAATTAACTACATATATAAATTCAAGATTTTTAAACTTAGTTCTATATTAATCTTTTATATATACTAATATATAATATTAATATTAAGTATATATAGATTATTTAATAATATATCTATTAAAATTTAATCTTAACGTATTAAAGATTTAAAAAGAATTAATCTAATTTTTTTTTAAATAATATTAATAATATCTAGTAATTAAAAATTAAGAAATCTATAGTATAAATCTATAGTATATATTTAATATATATTATAAATCGAATATAATAATTATAATTTTCTTAATTCGACTTAAATTCAATCGAGGTAAAACGAATATATTTAATATATACTATAAGTTTATTCGAGATAAAGTAAGTATATATCGAAGCTTTATCTCTATCGAGCTATAATTCGAAGCTAGACTTATAGCTCGATAGAGGTAAAAAAAAGTTCGATAGAGATAAGTAGATACTATATATATATATCTCGTTTAAAGTAAAAGAAATATATTTAATATATACTAATATCTTATCGAGAATAAAAAAAAATTATTAAATCTAGCGATTTTTATATATATGAAATAATCTCTAATATATAGAATATATAATATTAATAATATCTAGTAATTAAAAATTAAGAAATCTATAGTAAAAATAATAATAATAAATCTATAGTATATAGTTAATATATACTATAGATCGATTAAAATAGCTATAATTTTCTCGACTTAATTTAAATTTAATCGAGATAAAATGAATATATTTAGTATATACTATAAGTTTATTTAAGATAAAGTAAATATATATCGAAGCTTTACTTCTATTAAACTTTTTCTTATCTCTATCGAGCTATAACTCGAAGCTATAATATATACTCGCTTTATCTCGAATAAACTTACGTTAAGTCGAAAATAATATCGATACTTTAGAGAGAGAATAACGTATATATTAAGTATATACTATTATAAATTAAAGACTTCTTAATTATTAAATAATTAATATCGTAAATAGCTAATAAAATAGTATAGATAATTTAATAAATTATATAATTTTTATAAAAGATATATATATGCTAAGTATCAGCATCGTATATTCTATATATAAGAGAATTATCTTACATAGATAAAAATCGCTAGACTGATTTTTTTTTTCACCCCCGATGAGGTGTTGGTATATGCTGAGTGTATTCCTTTCATCTCGGACGAGGTGCATATACTTAGCATCTACTCACCCCTGCCGAACTTTTTTTCACCCCTGGCATATAGGTCTAAGCGCCTTGTCCAGGGAGCCCTCCGGGCTTGGCGTTATCCGACAGCTGGACCCTTTTCTTGGGCAGGTGCAGAACTTTTGGTGCAGACCTCCGTAGTAGCTCGACAATGCCGAATTCTCCATCACTGGCCCAAGTCTCGATCTATGAGCAAGGCGTGCAGGAGACGAGGCACACATGAGGTGGGGCCAAGAAGAAGAGGGTTCGAGCACTGCAAATATGTGCTGGGGCGCGGAGCTACCCAGTAGTGGAAAACTTGCCGAGGATATAAGAAGACTAAGAAGATTAAGAAGGTTACTATTATATAGTATTAATTCTATTAAAGGGAGACCCCCTAAACCCCCCTACCCTTCGGGGGCTCTTCGGGGGCTCTTCGAAAGCTCTTCGAGAGCCCTCCGAGAGCTTCTATTAAAGGGGCCATCCTCGTAAGCTCGAGATTATTTATATAAAGTTTATTTTAAAATCGATATAAGATCGTTTAGTTCGTTAAGATTATAACTATAATTTCTTTAAAAAAATTTCTTATAACGATTATTAATTATAAATCGAAGTTACTTATAAATAGCTTTAAGATCTTTATATTAAATTACTATATATAACGAAATCTCGAAATTAAATTAATTCTTAATTTAAGACTAATTAATCGCTATATACTTATCTTTTATAATATAAAATATATACTCTAAGATATCTTATAATTCGATATTAATAGATTCTTATAAGAATTACTCTTTTTAAAAATATATTTAATATATAAGATTATTATATAAATTCTCGATAATCTCTTATTAAAGATAAATTTTTAATTTTTAATTTTTTTATAAGCGCGTTTTAAAATATCGAGATCTTAATTTTTTTATAAATATAGAATATAAAGCGTTTAATATTAAGATTTAAAATATCGAGCTTAAAGATATTTATTTATATCTTAATAATATATATAAAATTAATATCTTCGAAAATAATTTAAAAAAGATTTTAAGATATTATAGATTAAGATTAAGATTATAATATAATATTATATAAAGATAATTAATATTACTATCGACTTTAAGCTTTTCTTTAAAATTATAATTAAATTTAAAAATATAATTATAAGAGAGTACGCTCGATATTTTATTATTAATAATTCTTTTAATATCGATTTATAATATATCGAGCTATTAGTATATATAATAGAATAAAATAAAATTAAGCTTAAAAATCTTAAATTTATATATATAGTTAATTATAAATTTAAATTCGCTACGCTTTTTAATTAAATCGACTAAGTTATTATAGATAAATAAATTAGTATTTATAATTATCAAAATCTCCCTCTTCTACGTCTCCCTTTTTAAAAAAATAGATATATATTATTAATATATAGAATAACCTTTTTATTTTCTATTAAATTTTAAAGATTTTTTTTTAAAATTATAGAACGAAATATGGGCTTTTAGATAAAAAAAGAATTTCTAAATTTAGTCTCATAATTATTAAAGCGTAAGAAATTCAAATATTACTTATCAAAGTTCGCTTACTAAAGATTACTTATTAAATTTACTCGATAGCCCTAATTAAAAAAAAATTATTATAAGCGTACTCTTAATATATTATTTAGCCCTATAACCTAGTATCTTAACGAAGATATCTTCTATTATATTATATCTTCTTTTCACCTATATAGTTCGATAGCCTTATTATTCTTAATCTATCTCACTTATACTAATATCGTATCTATGCTAATTCTAATATTATAATAAGACTTCTTCGTATTCCTCGACGAAGAGAAATGTAATTCGAGCATACTCCATTCGAATTAGCGGACGAATTTAAAGAAATACGTTAATAGAGACTTTGTTAAGATACTAAGTTAAGGTGTTAAGATATTAAGTTAAGATATTAAGATACGAATTTAAGATATTATATCTCTAGATAAGCTTACTAGACGGGTAACTCGATTTCATAGCGAATCGAACTCGCTAAAACTGTGAGCGAGGGATAAATAAGGTATAGAGACTATTCGTACGACTAGCGAATTGATAATAGAAAGAAATCGTTATAAACTTCATACTAATAGTAAGTCTGCTATAATGATAGTAAACGTATAACCTCTTTACTAAGTATGTCGATTATATATTATAATAAGTCTACTATAATAACGACGGGAATAGACCCGATAATACGATTACGTTCGATCTCTTTACTAAGTATGTTAATAATATATATAGTAAGCTTGTTATCAAATGGCATTTAACACATTCGATTCTTATTATCTATCTTATCTATTAAACTCTATAACAGAGGATGGAATAAAGGATGGATTTTTGATGATAAGAGTATGGGAGATATAGGGTAAATCTATAGTGAAGCTCCCAGGCCAGGTTGCTAATA